GTGCGTGTGCGTGTGCGTGTGCGTGTGTGCGTGTGCGTGTGCGTGTGCGTGTGCGTGTGCGTGTGCGTGTGCGTGTGCGTGTGCGTGTGTGTGTGTGTGTGCGTGTGTGCGTGTGTGCGTGTGTGCGTGTGTATGTGTGTGTCTGTGTCTGTGTCTGTGTGTGTGCGTGTGTGTGTGTGTGTGCCAAACTCGGCGGGATGGGCGCATGCGAATGCAGCCACTGCCCCCCATGGGGCCACGAAACGTGTGAGGGGTGTGCCGAAGTGGGTGCAGTGGGCGTATGTGAACGCAGCCGCTGGGGCCGCCGTTGGAGCTCACCATGGGGCCACGAACCGTGTGAGGTGTGCGCAAAACTGGGTGCGGTGGGCGCCCGCAAGCGTAACCACGGGGGCCGTGGGTAAAGCTCTTCTCTTTGGGGCCACGAACCGTTTGAGGGGTGTGTCAACATGAATGCGGTGGGCGCATGCGAACGCAGCCACTGGGGCGTCGGTGGAGCTCCCAATGGGGCCACGAAACGTGTGAAGGGTGCGCCGAACTGGGTGCGGTGGGCGCTGGCGAGCGCAGCCACTGGGGCCGCCGGTGGAGCTCACTATGAGGCCACGAAACGTTTGCGGGGTGTGCCAAAATCAACGCGGTGGGCGCATGCGAACGCAGCCACGGTGGCCGTCGGTGGGGCTCCCCATGGGGCCGCGAAGCGAACGATGATAATGGTGACGATGATGCTGATGATGGGGATGCTGATGATGGAGAGGGAGAGGGGGCAGCGGTGGGAAGGACGTGGGCGCTGCCTCTTCAAAACGAAAACCCAACACCGCAGGATGGTTGGGAACAATATGGCAGCAAGATGGCCCAAGATGGCCCTAAGGTCGCCCAAGACGGCCTGAGAGACCCCCAAGAGGCGTCCGAGGGAACCTCCAGGAAAGCCCGACGAGGTCTCAGCTCCTCTTCCTCTTTCTCCCCCGAGTGTTTCCCGAAGCGCTTCCACGACGGCTGTGGGAGCACATAGTCCAATAGCTTCGCCGAGCTCTGGCCACGCTCGGCCACATGGGCGCTTCCAAAAGGCAGGGCGACGGTGAATCGCCGAAGGCGTCGTCGATCCGTCGCCTCCCCCGCACTTGCCACGAGGGTGCACGGCATGCTGGATGTTTGTGAAGGGGCCCCAGGACACACAAAAAAATGCACACACATTTATATATATATATATATATATATATAAGATTCCCCATAGTCTCCCATTCTGGGCTTTCGTCTTCCCCCCCACTTCCAAATTGTTCCCACATTTTCTGGCGAATCGACAATTAGTTGTGTCTGTGTGTTTTTCCCCCCCCCTGAGTATAAAAATATTCCCCATCTTCTCCCATATTTTCTGGGTGTTTGTCTTCCCCCCCCCACTTCCCATATTTTCCCATATTTTCTGGGGAATCGACGATTCATTGTGCCTGTGTGTGCTCTTTTCCCCTCCTGAGTTTGAACAGCTCTGGGCAACGCGCGGCCCGAGGCGCGGCCCCGTGGGAAAAAGAGGCCTCCCCTCGGCCTGCCGCCCCCCCTTATGAGACCCGACATCTGCCACCACGCCCGCCTCCAGGACGGCCGAGGTGACGCTCGAGACGGCGAAGCTGGAGGGAGGAGGTGGGAGGAGGAGGAGGAGGAGGAGGAGAAGGAGGAGGAGGAGGAGGAGGAGGGGAGGAGGGGGAGTAGCGAGGAGGAGGGTGGAGGAGGGGGAGGAGTGGAAGAGGAGGAGGAAGGAGGAGGGGGAGGTGGAGGAGGAGAGGAGAGGTGGTGGAAGGAGAGGAGGAGGAGGAGGAGGACGAGGACGAAGAGGAGGAGGAGGACGAGGAGGAGGAGGAGGAGGAGGAGAATGGGAAGGGAGCCCAAGAGGCCCCCAGGATGGCCTCAACATGGCCTCAACAAGACCCCCCGAGGCCGCCACCGAGGACATCCAGGAAGGCCCCGAGAGGCCGCAGCCAGAGGCCCAGAAAAGGAAACTTTTTCGTCGGCGGCGAGGCGGGTCGATCCGCTCCAGCGTGGCAGCGATGCAGGGGCACTACAATGCGAATTGGCCGGGGCACGCAGGAAGGGGGGAGGAGGAAGGACGGGGCGGCCGCGGGGGGGGGGGGACGGCGAGCAGCCAGAGCGGCCCGCGGGCGGCGGGGGACGGCGTCCGGGGGCCAGAGCGCCGGCCAGGCAGACCGCGTCAGCAGGCGCGATGCGCTGCACAGGGGAAAACAGTGCAAGCGCCCGTGGGCTGCCCAGAGCAAAATTGAATGGGCCCCAGGACACACAAATAAATACACACAAATAAAAATATTCCCCATATTTTTCCATATTTTCTGGGTTTCTGTCTTCCCCCCCACTTCCCATATTTTCCCATATTTTCGGAGGAATCGAGGATTCATTGTGTCTGTGTGTTTTTTCCTCTCCTGAAAAATGCATCGTGTGCGTTCTTCAGCGTAAGCGTGCGCTGCCATACGCCCTGGCGTGAGGGCGCCCGCGGGCGGCAGGGGCGCGGCGGCAGCCGAGCAGGAGCCGTGGGGCGGCGGCGCCGTGGCGGCCGGAGGGCACTCGGGCCTGCAGCTGTCGCCGGCCAGGTCGTCGCAGGCGGGGCGCCGCGACGCCGGGCATGTGAGACAGGTAGGAAGCTGGGAGATATCTACACTCGCCATCGCTCGGACGTCCACTCCCTGTGTTTTTGTTGTTCGGTTTCGTGCGTGGTTTTTTTTTCGCCAGATGATCGAGGATGCTCTTCGAGGGTCCTCGCCGCAGGAAACATGCACACGTCCGAGCGATGCCAAGTACATCAAAAAAAGGGACGGGGGGAGAGAGGGAGGAGGAAGGCCCGCAGCTGCGGCGACACCAGGAAGGGAAGCACAGCGCCAGCAAGTCTGCGACGCTCCACGCGCGGTCGACGGCGCCGGCAGCGGCGACGAGGACGACGACGGGCAGGCAGGCAGGCGCGTGGGCCGGTCGGGCAGGGGCAAGCTCCTCAGTGCCTCCCGCCTCCCTCCCTCCCTCCCTTGCCGCCCCGCCCCGTCCCTCCCCCTCCCTCCCACGGCCTTTCATGTCCGACCCCCCTCCTCACACCCCCTGCCTTGAGGAAGAGAGGGATGAGGGGGAGGAACATGGAGGAGGGAGGAGTGGTAATCAGCAGGAAAGGGCGTGACATTCTGAGCAGGAGAGGGGGAAATGTATCTGAGCAAAAGGCCAAACTCGGAGACCGCAGCAAGGGGCGCATCCAATCCGCAGGAGGCCACAGCGCAAGGCCAGCAGGAACCACAACGTCAATATTGCGAACCACACTCTCGACGCACGTCCCTCGTCCGTAATACAGCGCGGCCCGCCAATATACCGCCACCCAGCTTTTCGGAGCGTACCCATAGCAGACATGAGACGATCGCTCTTAACCCTAAGTTCTTGAATCATTGCACTATCAACACGGCCAAGGGAATGCAATGTATCATCAATCGTGGTCCAACTCGAGCCATTCATCGTACCAATGTTCAAACATTCCTTCGAAGTAGATGTATGCCGTTTAGATGGTGGACCAGACTTTGCCGAAATCTTCTGCAAAGTAAATGGAGGCAGCGATCATGATGTAGAGCTTGTCTGCGAAGCCCTGCTCGTCTGCGAAGTGTTCGTACAAGGAGATTGACGTAGACGTGGTAACCGCCGTCCGCGCCGTTGGTCCGTTGGTGGTCTCAGCGGAAGGGTTGGCTGCTTCTCCAGGGTCATGTCCAACTTTCTGCCCAATCGATGAGGCCTTCGCGCGGAGCTTGCCTTTTTGCACATCTTTTGTGGGTGCAGACGTGGAAGCTGAAGGGCCTGACACAGGCGATGGTGGGTCAGCCACGGTGTGGCCATCATCTCCACAGCGCTTCTTGGCGTGACTAGTTTTCTGGGCAGCATGAAGTTTACGCAAGTATTCCCTGATTTTGCCGAACATAGAAGAAGTGCCTCAGGCAGCTCATCTTGGAGCTGGTTGACACGTCCAGCTGCTGTTTCTTTGTCCTCTGCCGTGGGGTCGACAAACTCACTGAGCCCAAATATTGATTTGGGGTCCAAGTCTAGCTCCACCTGCCTACCCAAAACTGAAGCCGGACTGACATTTGTCTCAGCACTGTTTGGGACGGGCCGGAGACTGTGGTGTGGACCTCTTGAAATGCCAGGCGATACGATTCTTCCTGTTGCTCGACCTGGCGTGGGACTTCTTTGATATCAGTGGCCTCGTGTTCAAAATACTGTTGAGTCTTCTCGCGCTGACCAACCAACTTTTGCGACTGATTGTCCAATTGCTTGGGCAACCGTCTTATTTCGTTGGCTCGCGGCTGGGCTGGGACTTCTGGAGCAGCTGGCGTCAATTGAGCCAACTTGGCCCGATACGCGTCAGCCTTGGCCTTTTCCTCTAGCTGGCCACAAAGTGCGATGATCTTGTTCACCTCGGCGGTAGAAGGTGAAACACCTCCGACGTTGAAGGGCGAAGTGGCACTCTGCTCTGTGAAACTAGCTGGCGCCCCCCTTGAGCCTCGAGACGCCTTCGGCCAGAGAGCCTTGTGGCCAGGCGCAGGCAGGCCCAACGTTCCTCCAGCTTTTCCCAGTGCTTGCACCATGTCCACGACCACTTGTTCCGAGAACACCCACACGACCCACAACGCCAAGCCCCAATGGGCTTGCCACCACTAGGAGAAGGCACCGTGGTACAGCCAGGGACCCTGGCACAGTCGTTGTTAAGAAACTGGGCTCCTGCAGGAGCTCACTTTAAGAACCTCGGCTGACCTGGCAAACGAGGGATGCTGTGGGGACCGTCCTCTCCCCCTCGCCAACAGGTCAGGTCTTAAGCCGAAACGCTACGGACTTCAGCCAAAATGGCCACGGGCCAGACACCCTCAATATCGTCCTCCTTGTTCCTCCCCGCTCCTCGTTTTCAACCTCCCTCTCCCCCTCGCCCTCCTCCCTCCTCGTTGATACACCGTCCCCGCTTATCCCCTGCACTGGGCGAGGACGGCGCCGTGTCGCCGTCGAGGTAGTCGGCCGCGATATGGGCGACATTGTCGAATACCTCGGAGATGCGCGCCCCACGATTCTCAGCATCCTCCTCCTCCGCCTCCGCCTCCTCCCCCTCATCATCATCAGCAGCATCAGCATCAGTATCAGCATCGGCACTAGCATCAGCTTCAGCAACATCATGATCATGATCATGATCATGATCATGATCATGATCATGATCATCATCATCATCATCATCATCATCATCATCATCATCATCATCATCATCATCATCGTCATCATCGTCACCATCATCAGCAGCAGCAGCAGCTGCAGCATTAGCATCCGCATCAGCAGAAGCATCATAATCAGCATCATCGTCACCATCACCATCGTTAACATCATCATCCTCACAAGCATGAATCACCAATATCACCATGATCACCACCACCACCACCATCATCATCATCATCATCATCATCACCATCATCATCATCATCATCATCATCATCATCATCATCATCATCGGCATCATCTTCATCATCAGCATCATCATGAGTAGCATCATCACCAGCACCATCGTAATCAGCATCAGCATCATCATCATCATCAGCATCATCATCATCATCATCATCATCATCATCATCATCATCATCATTGTCAGCATCATCATCAGCAGCACCATCCCCTCCTTCCCAGACCATCCTCATCCCCCTCCTCCCCCTCCTCGTCCTCCCCGCCCTCCGCCTCATCCTCCTCCTCCTCCGCCTCCTCGTCTCCCCTCGCCTCCCTGCCCGCCTCGTGGATCCAGCCCGTGTGCGAGCCGCCGTCGTACGTGTACACCACGCCCGCGCCGACGATGAGCCACGGGGCCCGGACTTCGCGCTGGATCGGTGGGGCCTCCTGCCAGGGGGGAAGGATACGCCACGACAGTAAATACACCGACACCCTCTGACGAATTCTGCATGTACCTCCAGGGAGGGCGTCGGTGTATGAAGTCGCTGGCTCTCGGTGGCCATTTTAAACACCGCCGCCCTCCCCTGAGGCCCAGAACCAACCCAATGGAGGGTGCCTGTGTGTACTTTCTTGTGGCGGAAAGGCAGGAGCGGTCAGAATGGGATCGACGAAGCGGATCGGATCGGAATGTGCACCACATCGGTGCCGCATCGGCACGGACTCGGAATCGGATCGGATCGGCCGCGCCACCACGCACAACAGCGCCACGGAAACGTCAAGCAACATATCGGAACGTCGGAATATCGAAATCGAGGCAGGTCGAGCCGGCCGAAGCCCATATGAAACCTGATCGATTGGATCGAAATGGACCCTGGAAGGTGGGGCGAATGAGGAGGGACGAGAGATCGAGGTGCGCTCCTCGACTCTCTTTTCAACAGGGCACAGTTAGACCTCCCTCTCCCTCTCCATCTGTATCCTCTATGCCTTCTCGCTGCATCATGGCTTTCTCCTGGCTTGCTTCACAATTGTTCCCAAATCCCCTATGTTGGTTACTCGTTCGCACTGCTGCGGCGTCCCCTCCCCTCCTCCTCCTCCTCCTCCTCCTCCTCCTCCTCCTTCAAGCTTCGAGCTGCGCCCTTTAGTTATCCGATTAGCTGTGGCCCACGACAATATTCTCCTGCTCCTCCTCCTCCTTCTCCTCCTCATCCTCCTCATCATCATCATTATCATCATCCTCCTCCCTCAACCATCCCGTCTCATCCACTCATCATCGCGTCGCCCCATCCTCATCGCGTCGCCTCATCGCGTCGCCTTCCTACCTCCTTCCTCTCTCTCTCTCTCTCTCTCTCTGTCTGCTTCTCCTCCCTTCCCTCTCCTCGCTGTCCGCGTCTCGCCCCTTCCTGGGAGCTGCCAACTGCGCGCTCCGCGCCACGTTCGCTGCCGCTCGCTGGGCCCAGGTGTCTGGCCTGGTGCCGCGGCGTGCACGCTTGGGCAAATGCGCCTCCCAGGCACGGCGGGCCACGATCCTGCGAGGGCAGCGGCAGTGGAGGAGGCCGGCCAATAAAGGAGAAGGCGGGGGTGCACCTCTCGCCCGCGGGCGGCTCTGGGACGGAGCCACGGTGACGTGCTCGCAGAGGGCGCGCTTCGAGGTCCGCCCCCCGTGGTGGCTCGTTCGGCCTGCTCGTTCCGAGCTTCGCTCCAGGCGGGTGCTACAATCAAAAACCCGAATAAGGACGCGCGGTAAGGACGCAAGACCCTTGGAAGCCGCAGTTGGGATTTTTGGGGCGCCGGACGACGAGAACCCCAAGGACGCAAGAGCAAGGAAGAGCAAGGACGCAAGGGTACCCTGAGCAAAGTCGCGCGTTCTTATTACGGTTTTTGACTGTAGGTGGACGGCGAGGGGCCGGTGCGCCCAGGTGCGCCTCCCCCACCCTCGGCGGGTTGGGGGGGGCAGAGCCATGGGGCGCACACGGGCACGACGCGTGGCACCGCGCACCGTACGGGGCGGGCACGGGGTCACAGAGCAGACAGTGCTCGACGCGGGGATCGTCACAGGTGCATCGACGTGTGCAAACCAGGGCTCGAAATAAACAGTGTTTTCCATTTTCGTTTTGTTTTCGTCATCCCTAGCTCTGTCTTCGTTCCACATTTGCTGCAAAACGAAGTCAAAACGAAAACAGTCCACGAAATTGACAAAGCACCGTTTAGCTCGATTCCTGGTGCAAGCATTTCCCGCTGCGAGCATCTGCACGCGAGAGAGGTCTAAGCATGGACGGGCCAGAGTATGACAATCTGGGAACAGGTCAGGTCTGAGCGTGAATGAAACTGAATGTGACTGAGTCTTGGTGTGCGTGAGTCTGTGCGCATGAATGTGAGTGAATGTGAGTAGGTCGAGTGTGTGTGTGTGTGTGTGAGCGTGAGAGGTCTAAGCGTAGTTGGGTGTGAGTGGCCTGACAGTGGGATCGAGTGTGAGAAGTCTGAACGTATATGAATGTGACTGTGGGTGTGAGATGTCTGACTGGTCTAGCTGGAACCAGCGCCCCGCGAGACATCCTCACATGCTGCTCTGAACGCAGACGAGTCTCGGGTCCGAAACAGGCAAACGGCCTGAGACTTCCCCACATTCTGGGCGCAAACGGGCCCGTGGTATACCTCCTAGCGGCTTCCCCTTGGGGCGATAGAGCCAGCGCCCCGCCTGAGAAATCATCACAACCTGCTCCGAAAGCAGAGGATGTTGCGCATGCGAACAGGCAAACCGCCCGATTCATTCTCGGCGCGAATCCTGGAGTGTCCCCCCCCCACCCTGGCGGCTCCCCCTCGGGAGCGCTGAAACCAGCATCTCGCTTGAGACGTCCTCGCAAACCGATCCGAACGCGAAGGAAGATGCGCATGCAAACAGGCAAACCGCCCGAGGCATCCCCACAATCTGGGCGCGAATGCTAGAGTGTCCCAACCCCTGGCAGCTCCCTCTTGGGAGTGCTGAAAGCGGCGCCTCACCTGAGACATCATCACACACTGCTCCGAAAGCAAAGGACGATGCGCATGCAAGCAGACAAACCGCCTGAGGCATCCCCAATCTGGGCGCGAATCCTGGAGTGTCCCCACCCCTGGCGGCTCCCCCTTCTTGGGGGCCCGAATGCCATCGCGGTGAGCATTGAGTGCGAGCGAGTCTGAGCGAGTCTGAATGTGAATGGGTTATGAGTGAGTCTGAGTATGAGGGCGTCTGGGTACGAGTGAGTCGGAGTGTGAGTGGGTCTGAGTGTGAGTGAGCTTGAATATGTGTGAGTGAGTGTGAGAAAGCGGAGGAGGAGGGTGTGAGGTGTGTGAGGAAGGAGGTCTGGAGGCGACTGAGTAAGAACAATCGCGGAGACCTATCGCGGCACGGATCTCCGCTCTGAACCCCTGCGCCACCCCTGAATCGAAAATTGCTGACGCCCCTCGGGTGACGCATCAATTGCTTCCGTCAACTTACCCCAGCGGCGTCTCCCCTGTTCTGATTCCGCCGCCTTCCCGCGGTCGTCCGCTGGCGAGGAAGAGAAGCCAGCCCCTCGACCCCTGGAAGGCGCAGCCCTTTCCTGGAGCGCCCCGCCTGCGAAGGACACGTGGCGTCGGGTGGGAGGTCGCCCTGCTGACACGCTCGGCCCGAGCCTCGCTCTTCGTGCTCGCTCGTGGAGCCGGGCCCGCTGCGCGGTGGCGAGGCGACCACCTCGGCCACCGCCCGGGCACCTGGGCGGCACTCGCGCGCTCGCGCGAGCGACGCGCCCGGCGCCGAGGTCGACGACCAGGCCGGCCGAGCCGCCCTTGATGGCGCTGCAGCCGCGGGCCTGGTGCCGAGGCTCGGCGCCGAGGCCGGGCGGGCCTCTCCCTCCATGAGCACCAAAGGGCGCAGCAGCAAATGGGCCCCTCGGGCGCGGCCCGCGAGCGCGGAAGGCTCTTCGAGGCCCTTTGGCGGCAGGCAGAGGGCCCGGCGTGCACCGCGGGGCCGGGCCGGGCGAGCTGCCCGCGGCGGCGCCGAGGCGGCGAGGAAGGCGAGATATTGGGGTGTGGGCCGCCGGGCGCATCGTGGACGGCGGCGGCATGAGAGGCCTCCCAGATGGGGTCCGAGTAGAGGGGGGTCGAAGGGTCGCGCCGCATCGCCAATATACATCCCGGATGCATCGGCGGTGCATCGGCGACGCATCGGTGATGCAGCGGTGACCTCGGCGTGGGTACACAGGGTCTCCACGTCGAGCCGCATCGTCGATGCATCGGCGATGCGGCGCGATCCTCCGACCCCATCTGCTCGAACTCCATCTATGCGGTCGAGAAGCGTGGAGCGCCGCGGCGCCGCGCCGTACATGCGAGGCGGGGATCCAGAACCATCGCGCCTGTGGGATGGACCTTCGGGGGGCTCGGCCTCGGCAGACGGTGGATATGGATATCATTTGCCGCAAGGATAGGAGGAGAATCTCCTCCTCCTCCTCCTCCTCCTCCTCCTCCTCCTCCCCGTCCTCCTCCTCCTCCTCCTCCTCCTCCTCCTCCTCCTCCTCCTCCTCCTCCTCCTCCTCCTCCTCCCCGTCCTCCTCCTCCTCTTCTTCCTGCTCCTCCTCCTCCTCCTCCTCCTCCTCCTCCTCATCATCATCATCATCCAAGTCTTGCCTGGTCGGCGGGTGAGTTAAAAACGGGGGCACGGGCGTTCCCGGGCGGCGTTCCCGCTGCCACCCGTCTGCAGTGCTCCCGTCTGCAATGCCCGGGGGCCAGGCAGGTGAGGGCGTAGCTCATCGGGACTAGGGACGTTCCCGATGGTCCAGATTGTGATGCCCCCGTCTCCAGCGCCCTGAGGACGTAGGAAAGACCAGCTTGCTGGAATGGCGGAATGCTGGGCACAGGTACGGGCATCCCGAAGGTGGCCTCTCTCAATACATCGTGACGGAGCCCGCATCGCCGATCCAAGCCTCCCGGTTGGCAGCGAGCTCTGTCCAGCTGCGACGTCCCTCCATCGAGGGGGGATCTGAAAGAGCGAGGAGGGACGGCGGAGAGAAGGGAGCGGGGAGGAGGGGAGCTCGGAGAAGGGACGATCGAGGGAGAAGGACGACAGAGGGAGGAGGGAGAGGGACGACAGAGGGAGAAGGCGCCGTCGTCTCCCTCCCTCGTCGTCCACCTCCGCTTGGGAGTCCGCCTTCCACTCATCTCCCCGCAGCGTCGGCAGTACATAGAAGGCGAAGGACTTGAAGGAGGAGGAGGAGGAGGAGGAGGAGGAATTTGGCCAGCCAGTCCCATCTGAAACAACCACTCGCCACACCAAAAAAACGCTTGCTCGGGATGTGAGGTTCTAGTTCGGAAGGACGGGGGGATGGCACACTGCGCCTGCCCAAATTCTACGGCTACCTTTGCAGGCTAGCCTTTGCACGAGTTCCCTTTTACTTACGTGCACGCGTCTTTCGTTCACTCCATACGGCGTATCCCTCCTTCCTTCGATCTGATTATGTGCATTGTTGATACTTGGACCATTCGTGATTACGTGCATCGTTACAGTGCTGGTCATGTGATTCGCTGCTGTCCGCAGTCACTATCCTCCCCCACTCCTTTTTTCCAACCTTCCCCAGTTGAAGGGTTCAGGTTCGTAGCGTTTGGAGCGCTGCGGGGAACCCAGCGGCCTCTTGGAGTCCCAGGGGCTCTAGGAGGCACGGCGACATCAATAGACTCCACTCGCGGTCGTCTGCGCACCGTGAGCCGTCTCACAATGGCGGACGGGCGGTCACTGTCCTCCCCCACTCCTGAACTGTCTGGTAGGCGTATACTCTGTGCCCGCATGGGCATGCATGCCTTACCCTTTGATATGCTGCCCTATCTTTTCCTGCTACGCCTGCCAGGCTTCCTTTGTCGGCCCCATTGGCCGACGTCGGCACTCTCGTGCGATAGTTGTTCCCACTGGCGCCACAATCTTAGGATGAAAGCCCGCCCTACGCCAGAAAACGAGGAGGAGGAGGACAAGGAGGAGGAGGAGGAGCAGGAGGAGGAGCAGGAGGAGGCGAGCCGATCGCTGATCGTCCCTCCCCGCTTGCGGGCCCGGTCCTTGCGGAGGATGGCGCTGGGAGATGGCAGAATAGACGACACCCTCGGCCGAGCGAGGGCAGGGCTGGGTCAAGAAGGCGTCGTCTCCGCCGTCCCTTGTCCTCGTCCCCCTCCCCCACGAAAGCCAAGCCGGCCTTCTTCTCCTCCCTCCTAGTGTTCCTCTGCGTATTTCTATGCATTCCACTTCTTAAACATCTTCCTTTTCCTGCTCCTGAATTTTCTCCTCCTCCTGCACAGCCTCCTCGTCGTTCCTCCTAGTAATGAGTCCTCATCCCTCCTGATTGCGTTTACGTGTTCACTCCTCGTTCCTCCCCCCTCTCCCCCCTTCCGCCATCATCATTCCACCCTCTCCTTCCCCCTGATTAATCCCTCCTTTCTCCTTCCTCCCCTCCTCCTCCTCCTCCTCCTGCTCATCGCCTCCGTCCCCTTCCCCGTCCCCCTTCATCCGTTTCATCCCTCCTCCCAATCCTCCTCCTTTTGCTCTCCCGTCGTCTCTCGTCCCTCTTCTCCTCGATACATGTCTGTCCTTTGCTGTCATAGATTATTGCTCCTCGCTCCTCCCTCCTCACCATTCCGTCCTTACTTTAATCACTCTTCCGAACACGTTAAACAACACTTGGTGCACAATGCCGTCTCGGATTGCAATCGCTTCGCATATCCATCCGGCTGGTTCCACGGGCGACCACCCATCTAGCAATGGGAACGCATCCCAGGCAAACAGCACAACAAGCAAAATATGTGATCGAACGAGCGCTGAAACGGCGCTATAGACATCCTGACCGATCCGACGCCAAGGGTCCCCGTGTCTGCAGGGAGCTACGGTAGCGTCGAACATCCCACCGGCTCTATGGGCGTAGGTGCTTTCGCCAATCAGCTCTTCTGACACAACTCAGACTTGCCATCGCTCGGACGTCCATTTCCGGTGCCTTTTTCGGTTTCGTGCGTGTTTTTTTTGATCGATGGTCCAGGATGCTCCTCGATGGTTCTCGCCGAGAAAAAATGCACACGTCCGAGCGATGTCAGGCAGACGTTCCCCTTCGGGAAGGATTCAGCCATAACCCTCCTGCCTCCCCCGGGGTCTGGCCGGGAGAGAGGAGACGCCAACGTGTTGGAGCGTCCAGCGCGGCCCTGGCTCGCTCCAAGATGGCCCCACATGTATGAAAGAAGGTCTCCAAAGTCGTGCAATATTACCAAAAACAACACATAATAACCTCCAGAACAGTTCCGAGAGGTCCTAGTACGGCCACTAGGTGGCTCGAGGTCGCCTCGGAACCCCCACCTGAGCCCCCCCCTGAGAGACTAAAAGTACCGAATGACAACAGATTGATCAATGATGCGTGGTTTGTAATCGAGTTTCCGATGGGCCTTCAAGGCGTCAAGATACCCCCAGGATGGCCCAACACGGCACCAACACGGGCCTCAAAGGAGCCCACATAGCACCCCAAGAAAACCTCTGCAGGGCCCAAGAAGGTGATTTGATGTCTCGAACTCCGATGGGGAGGGCTTGGCGAGGCTCCAGCCATGCTGTGGTAGCATGATCCTGTGAGCGCCCGAGAGTTTCCGGACTGGGCCCGAAGAGAACACCATGAGTGCCCCAACCCACCCTCAAAGGATCGGGGATGGACAGACCTCCCTTTAGTAAAACGTGGTTTAGTGAAAACGACCTGAGGCCCAAACCTGGCGGGCGCGAGCCTGGAAAATAACGGCCGCGGCGCCCTCTCGAGAACCGAAAACGGACAATTCACGAATGGACGTGTCACTGTTGGGGGTTCTGTCCACCCCCGATGGATTGGGCCCGAAGAGAGCATCATGAGTGCCCCGACCCACCCCGAAGGACCCCGATGGAGCTCCAAGACGGCCCCGAGGGAACACCCGAAGGTCCCAGACTCCAGGGAGGGGAAAAGGAGGAGGAGGAGGAGGAGGAGGAGAAGGAGGAGGAGGAGGAAGAGGAGGACCTAAATAAGTTGGCCATTGCCAGGGTCTGTGCGGGATGATTCAAAATCTAGATCGAAAGGCGCCCTGTCCTTTCTTTCACAACTGCTCCTCCACTTCCTGCCTTACGCCGGGTCGCCTGGACAACTATTCGGGAGAGGGCGAACGTGATCTTTTCACGAAGCGCCAAGATCAATGTCATGATCCAGACCTGTTTCCTCATCATCCATCTCGTCCTTGTCATAACCCTTATTTGCCTCCTCCTTCCCATCCTTCCCATCCTCCTCCTCCTCCTCCTCCTCCTGCTCATCCCCCTCTCCCAATATCCTCACCCTTCTCTTTCTCATACTCTTCACCCTCCGCACTTCCTCACCCATAGATTCCTATTGTTCGCGCTCCTCCTCCTCCCCCTCCCGCCTGTCCTCTTTCCTTATCGCACCCCTCATCAAGTCCTCCCCCGCCTCCCCCTTCCCCTGTCCTTCTCCTTCTCTTCCTCCTCCTCCTCCTCTTCCTTCTCCTCCTCCTCCTCCTCTTCCTCCTCCCGCCCCTTCCCGCCTCGTCTGGGAACGCCCGCGCTAAGGAGCGGGCTGTTCGGTCAGCGGCTCGGCCACCTGTGGTAACCGCGTAGCTCGCCGCTTTCGCCTGAGGCGCCCATTCCCTCATCTCCTGCCTCGCGTTTGTCTGCCCCGCTTGCCATGAACCATGGGCCCTGGGCCCCGGGGCATCCACGGAGCCTTGCAGACTTCCCTGGGGCCAGAAGTGCGCTTCCCCGGGGCCATCCAGGAAGGCCCCAGGACGCACGCCCAAGATGCACGCGTGTGTGACACATACTGGGACGCACAGTTCTCCTTGGAGGCGCGCGTCCAACTCGAACATCTAGTATACCCATCTTGTAGTAGATCTTTTTCCGAGCGACGTGGCCAGAAAGCGACCGCCACGGCGCATATACTAGAAGATTTCTCGGTGCGCGCGTCGCCTCTAGGGGGGCGACGCACACGTAGTATTAGTATGTTGGGGTGACGCCGATATATAGTACATGCGTAGAGAGAGAGAGAGGCGAAGTGTAACCAAAGAGGATACGAGTTCCTCAAGGCCTGCACTTTGGATGTTCTTACTGAAGTTTTGGAAGCGTCTGCGCAGGCGCTCCAGTCGTAGGCGCCTGGTGCCTTGTTTTTTTTGCTCACGACCATGCCCCTGAACTTCTTTGCACGGCGTCGGCACTCTGCCGACACTGCTTGCACACACTATGGGCGCAAACCCCAAGAGGTGTAAACAACAGACCACATTGCTGACTCGGGCCCTCCAAGCCAGCGGCCCCGCCTCGGCAAGACACTCCCAAAGCCAACGTTCACAGCAGCATTCACGTGGGCGCCTGGTGCTCTGTTGGTGCTCCCGTCGTGGGGGCGCTCGGAGTTGTCTGTCGAGGTTCAGTCGGGGCGTTGACCTAAGAAACCCTGAATAAGGAACGAGGCCCCGTTTCTTCCATAAGTTAAACTCCGATTGCCTATCGAAAACTTACGGACAACCTGAGGCAAGCTGTGAAACACTTAAGGAACGCGGAGCCCCTCCCCAACCAAAAAGGGTTCCTTCTTCAGGGCCCCGACTGTATCGCCTGGTGCGCTGGGTCGGTGCTCGGTCGTGGACACACCTCGCGGGCGCCCAGTGCGCTGGGTTTTGGTCCGGCGAGGCTTCGCCCGATGTGCCCAGCTTGGTGCTGGCCTGTGGGCGCCTCGCAAGAGCGCTCGCTGCGCTGGACTGCTCCTCGCCATCGCTCGGACGTCCATTTCCTGTTTTTTTTGGTTTCGAGCGTGGCTCTTTCGCCAAAGCATCAGGGATGCTCCTCGATGGTCCTCGCCGAAGGAAGAAGGCACACGTCCGAGCGAGGCCAAGGTGAGCGCTCGTTGCGCTGGACTGCTCGGTCGAGGTTCCAAGCCTGGTGCCAGGCTGGTTGCCGGGTCGTGGGCGCCTCGTGCGCACCCCGTGCGCCGGGTTTGTCCGTGGAGGCTGCCTGGAGTACGCCCGCTCGGTGCCTGGTCGAGGGTGCCTCGTGGGAACCTCGTGCGCAGGGCGGCCGCAGAACTTGCAACACCCAGCTCGAACCACATCGATCGCACCATGTCGCTTGCACCACCTAGAAATTGACCACATAGGGTGCACCACATCGATTCTACCACATGGCTTATGCGGCACAGCTGCATCCCACGGCTTGCATCACACGCACACACACACACACCTCATGCCACCTACAGCCATACATACAGATCGGTGCAATATATATATATGTATATATATACAGAAATCCAACTTGCACCACATAGTTTACACATCCACGGTGCAATGACTTTACCAACCTCGGGGTCCCCGGTATGCATGGGATCGCGGCCGAGGGGCCGAGACCGCGAGGCCGCGGACACGAAGATAGCCCCCGCCCGCGACCAGCGTGATGTCGAGCCTGTCCCTCTACGGGGGGAATATTCAAAAATCGTGTTTTTTTTGGGGGGGGTTCTGTTTTGACCATTCGGGGGTATGTTTGGGGTATGTTTCGGGGCTATGTTGGGGCATGTTTGGGGTATGTTTGGGGTATGTTTTGACCATTTGGGGGTATGTTTTGACTATCTTTATTTTTTTCGCCGAAAATCCCCCTGTATAGGGGGACGCGCCCGACTTAAGACCAGCGGCGGCACCCCCTGGAGAGCAGACGAACAGACACCAAAACGCTGCCGGAGGCCCGCGGACGGCCTCTCTCCGCGGGCGCTGGGCCCCCTCCCCCCCCTCGGGGGCTTGAAGGACGCCGCCCCCGACTGGCAGAACTGAGAGGGGCCCTGGGACACACACACACACACACACACACACACACACACATATATCTATATATATATATATATATATATATATATATATATATATATATACACACACACACAAAAGAACAGGGAGGGACCCTGGAGCACACGAATAAATACACAGACAGATAACGGGATTCCCCGTAGTTTCCCATATTTTCTCGGCTTCTGTCTCCCTCCCCCCCCACTTCCCATAGTTTCCCATCTTTTCCCGGGAATCGACGATTAATTGTGTCTGTGTGTGTTTTCCCCTCCTGACCAATTGGGAAAATACCCATAGCGAACCCGACCCGAAAAAAGGCAATACAGTCGACTTGTCACGGCTGGGGTTCCATCAACCTCCGATCCCCACAACCTCTGGGTGGCGCCTTCGGCGCCGCCCCCAGGCGCATTTGGTGCGCAGGGGACTGGGAAAACCGCCCTTCAGCAAAACACCCACTAGTGAAAACGATCCAACGAACAATTCGAAAATCGACTTGGCGCGGTGGAGGTTCCATCAGCCTCCTATACCGCAACTGCTGGGCGGCGCCTTCGGCGCTGGCCGCGAAAACCGCGCCCCCAGAGGGGGGGAGGGAAGGAGGGGTGCGCCAGAGGCTGCTTATGTTTCTGTTGGCGGTGCAGGCCTCGGAGAAAATAGCGAACACTCATGCCACATTCATCGGTCAACGCCTCCCCCTACCCCCAATGTTCAAAGTTGGCGGTGGGTCTGACGAGTCGCATTTCGACCGCAGTCTCCTCCGCGCGTGCCAGCCTTGAGTTTGGGGGACAGGGGGAATGCCCACTACTTGCTTCCCTCTACCGTATTTGGGCACCCCGCTCCAAGGTTTGTTGGGCCGCGTGGCAGATTCCGGACACCCTTGCACTTCCGTCGGCCTTTCGCCGCCCTTCTGCCGCCTTCCGCCGAGGAAGAGGTGACATCTCCCTCTATCCTCGAGGCCAAAAGCCCTTTCTGGAACAACCCACGCGAAGTGGGCCCGGTCCAAGGGCCACGACAGGTCCAGAGCCACGGGAAGCGCTCACAGATCCATCAGCCTGGCGAGGACCACCTCCTCCTCCTCCTCCTCCTCCTCCTCCTCCTCCTCCTCCTCCTCCTCCTCCTCTTGCGCCTCCTCCGCCTCCCCGCCCTCCTCTCCTCCTCCTCCTCCTCCTCTCCCCTCCTCCCTCCACCTCCTCCTCCTCACCTCACTCATCCCCTCCTCCCCTCCTCCTCCTCATTCCCCTCCCCCTCCTCCTCCTACCTCCTCCTCCTCCTCCTACCTCCTCCTTCCCCGAGACCTGCGACGCCGCGACTACCTTTCGCGGCGTGGGCCCCCGTACCTCGGCCCGGCCACGCTCCAGGCACTGGCCCGTCGCCGCGAGGCTCGTGCCGCTGGGTGGCCACGGGGCCCCAAGAAACGCCCGAAAACCTCAGGTCTCGATCCGGTGGAGGGCCACTTCTGGCAGGGGTCATCCTCACATGCAGTCCGAGCGGTCGCCGCCACCGGGTCCGCCGAGGGAGGGCCAGCCAGGAAGAGCGCATCATGGCCCGAGGCACGTGCGCGGACAACCGGGGGGGCCAGAAAGCGACCGTCGTGCTGCGTCGGGGGCTTTCGAGACGCAGGAGGTCCGGGCCGCTGCCTCCACCCTTCGGCGACGCGCACCAGGCCCGTCATGTTGTGTCGGAGGGTTCGCGACGCAGGAGGTCCAGGCCCCTCCCTCCTTCCCCCAATGGTCGGCGGCGCGCAAGACGGACAGGGTGAGGGGGAACGGCCTTCTCAGAAGGCACATCTCAGAAGACCTCCTGTCTTCCAAGAAGCCGTCTGAGAGGCCTGTAAGAAGCGGCCGATTCCTTCTCCAGTCAGTGGAATACTACTGCTCAAGTTTTTGGTTGGAGCATGTGCGTGTATCGGGCATCTGTCGGGCGATATCCACACTTGGATTCTCGCTGCGTCCATAGCCCGTTTGAGGACGAGGCGTGAGCAGAGAGCCAGCACCTCAGCCACCAGCGCCCTCGCCTCGCCTTCTCCTTCTCATGTATTAACGTTCTGCTAAAACTACGCGCGCGCTTCGCGCGCTTGGGTTCTAGCCGAAAACAATTGCTGCATCATCCTACGATTCGTACTTCGAATAGCGGCCACAACAATCATGTTAATGTTATTCGTGCGCCCTCTCCGTGCTTGCTGTCTTCACTGTCTTTCCTCTTCATCCTACGTCGCCTCGTTTTCCTTCTCGGCGTCTTCTGTACCTCCTCCCTACCCCTCTTCCCCCGTCCGCGCGCTTCGCACGCATCGAGGTCGTAGAACAAATCCTGGACAACACCAGCAGCGATGTGCTCGTTCGTCTCCCTTCTTCACCTCCTTTTGGTCCTCCTCCTCCTGCTGCTCGTTCCTCTCCCCCTTGTCCTTCTGATGATTCCGTGCGCCAGCTCGAAAACCCTTTCTTTCTGGGCTTGGCAAGATTATCCTAAGCATACTCGGGCCGTCGTGGGGGCACTCTTGGGCCATCTGGGCCCCCTCTTCGCCGTCGTGGACGCTGTCGTGCAACCCTCAAGTTGGACGGTGTCGGTGCCTGGGAGGCAGGCTTGAGACGTGTCCCTCCCGCCTCAGGCCATGTTTGAAACTGTTCTGGAGCCTCTTAGGCGCATGCCAGGGAAAGCCGTCTGGGAGGTTCGGGGAGAGAGAGAGAGAGAGAGGGAGCGAGAGAGAGAGAGAGAGAACACGACGTACATAGAGAGAGAGAGAGACAGATGTGCCTGTGCATATATATATATATATATATATATATATATATATGTATGTATGTATATATATATATATGCATTAAACGTAACATAGAAACAACGGGATGTTGCTCCTGCGGCCCCCCCACCCACACATGATTGTCGAGCAAAGGCGCTCAAGCAGCCCATGCCAGCCAAAAGGATGCGCTCCAGCACTGCCGATTTAGCAAAGGAAGCGCGCGCTCTCCAGCAAACCGCGGCGTGCGCTCCAGGAGCGGAACTGTCTGGACCACGGGCGTCCCAACAGCCCACAGCGTGTCCGCCAGCACGGCATTTTTACCGCGCCCGCGACCCAGTCCGAGCGCAAAACCAAAGCGCAACGTCGCCGTCGTCGCCGCCGTCGCCGTCGCCGCCGCGGTCGTCGCCGTCGCCGCGCTCGCCGTCGCCACCGTCGCCGTCGTGGCCGTCGCCGCCCTCGCCGTCGCCCCCGTCACCTTCGCCACATGTCGCCGCTGGCGTCGCCGTCGGCGCCTTCGTCGAGGCCGTGCACGTCGGCGGCGTCGCTGCCGTCGCCGTCGCCACCGTCTCCACCGTCCCCTCCGTCGCCACCGTCACCGTTGCCGTCGGTGGCGTCGTCGATGTCCTCGCCGTTGCCGCGATCTGGCCATGAATTAATTCTCACTATTTCCACTGACTGTAAGAATCACTCCTGCCGTCTTGAGATTCGCACGCCCAGAATGGGGACAGAACGTATTGGCACGATGCCCAACAGCAGTACCGGTTCATATGGAACAAGAATTGGTGTCATTCGGAACCCTACTGGGATCAAGTCTTCTTATGTTCCCAACAAGTCTAGCGCCTTTGGACAACAAGTCCTGTCAAACGAACAGGGGGTGCTGTCAAAATGACAACCTTTGTTGTCAGATGGACCGCAAAGGACAGCACTACATCTTGCTGCAGATGAACAGTGACTGATGTTGGGCATCGTACCTTTATTTTCCGTACCAATTCTGGAGGTGCAGATAGGAGGCCGCCAC